TCTGTTGGATTTTGGTTTTTCTCCCTCTACTCCCTATACCGCTAGTAGTGAATGTAATCCTATGTGCTTACAGGGTAATAACAGTCAAAAGATGAATGTCGCCCAATATCAATCTTCAGCAGATTGACATTATACCTATTACATCTATAATAATAAGAACACACCTCAGAAGCTAGACAAAACAAAAGAAACATGCAAAAGTAGATGTGTTAATAAAATAAAAAGTGGTTATCAACTTACCCCAGATTGGCAGGTCATCTATGTACATTTGGTACCAGTAGTGATTCTTTATGGCGTAGACAAAAGCATCTCGTTTGGCTTTGTCCAACTCTATTTCACAGTATGTTGACTGCATGACTTCCTCTACAAAGATAAAGATCACATTTTTAGTAAGTGTAGGACGTTTTGTGGAATTAATAAAGCCAGACATCCAGAGACAAGCAACATTTTTTAGTTATAATGCTCTTGCTGATTCAAAGTCCTAAACAGGTGGAAGTCAGTGTAAGTACCTTTGAACTTTATTTGCAAGCCGCTGAATTCAAGCTCCACTCCCTGCAGAGCCTCTCCAAGTGTTTCATGGTAATGACTGATGGTCTTCTGGGAGCCCGCACAGAAGGGCAACGAGAAATACTTGTATGTCTCCTGTCGGTTGTGGTAAGGCCCCACTGTGTTCATCCATAAAACTACCTCCTCCTTATCTGTGTACTGCAAAAGGAAAACAGGAGGACTCTTATAATTAAATCCAGGAATGCTACACCAGTTCTGCAAGTACTCCTGGCGTCCGATTCTTATTCTATCGATGGTGCACCAAAGAAACTTCTGTGAGCTGCCAACAACTTTTAAAACAATAGCAGCACTATCACGTTATAAATCATGCAAACAAATGTAAATTTCAGGCTCTTTTCACACTGTTATCGAGCCATCCTCGTAGCACTATTGTGTGTTAGCTATGTGTACCACTGGCAAGGAAGTTCTCTTGAATGCAACATCCGCCTCTTTACTTAACAGCTTCCACATTAGCGCCCCATTTATAATTAAGACAATGTAATGCACATTATTATCTTGTTAGCCAGGTGTAATTAGGGCGGCTGGATCTGACAACTGAGAACAAAAGTAATATGAAGAGGGCCTTAAGTTTAATCGATGTCAAGAGTAAATGTTTTTCATTAATTGTGTTTGCGAGGCTAAACGGACGGCAGTTTTATAAATCTTGCCTTTGATTAACTAACTGACGTTAGCTACAGGCTAACTAGCTGCTAACTTAAGTGTAGCTTCCGCCGGTGCTCAAGTAAGGTTGCAAAGACCAGCTTGGAAGATGTGCTAACAAGCTAGCAAGCAAACGTTACTCATAAGCACTTGGGCCGATAAGTAGTGACAACTTAGCCGGCTAAATGAATGCCTACCCGTTTGATAGCTCACCCAGTATCAGTATATAACCCACAAAGACCAAGTCATGAACCCTGTCACGTTTATAATTCTGTTTTGTGGGTTGTAGCTAGCCGTCGCGGCTACAGTTAGCAGGTTACACAGAGCACAAACGTCCATTATTTTCAAGGCTCCCCCTTTTCAGTCGGCCTCTCAAAAAGGTGTCTTACCGTGTGGTCATGTTCGTCTGCGTCGACAGGTGATAAAGAACATACAAGTGCGAAAACCACCGCCGCTACCACCTTCCACCTGGAATATCCCATTATTTTCAGAAAAAAAAGTGTACAGAAAGACTGGGGATGTTAGCTTTGCACGGCTATCCCACCTTCTTCCTGGTTGTATGACAGAGGCAATTTTTAGGGATGCTCTCGTACGCATATGGCGTAAGTGCCTCATGAGCGTTCGTCGTATGCACGTTCGATTGGCTGAAAAGAGGCACGTGGCTGACGACGTCCAGTCAGCGCAGAAAACGATGGATACACGGTGATTATAGAAACTCTGTCGGCGCATCTACCGCAACCTTCGGCCACGTCATCCGACTGCAAAGACTGGAGCTTCAACTTTGACAGAGAGCTGGTGCATGAAACATGATCCTCGAGTACAACAAGCGGGTCTATTCACTGTCTGATGAGGCCTCTTAATGGGCCCAAAGTTGTCCGAACAATTTGTCAGTCTGAGCCACGATAATGCACAATTTTAAGCAAGCGCAGCAACCTCTAAATGTCCTACTTGTTTGGATTGCAGTTCTAGGTTATTCTTTGGATAAAGCTGATAAGTTAAACCTGAGTTTAAGACTGTAACTTAAAAGTTCCTATGCACTTTGACTACATTTATCTTTAAGGACACAGTTCAGCTCAAGGTAGGCTGACTTGGTAGACTGTATTCTCAAACAGACACTCGTCTTCCTTGACTACTTAAATGCTCTATGGTCTCATTTAATATGTACAATTGTCTGAGTCAGATTCTGACGCTTCAAAATGAAAATTAGTTTTACATTACAAATATCAACTGAAAGTTACCCTGTTTCTCATTTACTGCCCCCTACTTGGGTGAAACTGCACAGCAGATGACATTACCATAATTTACAAGAGGGCTTGGTTCACAGTCAGTCAACATAACTTTAATTAATGCAATGATAAATATACCATTTCCTTGTGTTTCCTTCTTTGTATTTCCTTACAGTGGAAGAAATCATTTAATATTAGCAGATTTTTTTAACACCTTTGTGGATATCATACATGTTGAACTATAGTCCTCAGAGATCCCATCTTGTAGCTGTTTTTAACAAGACAGACATAAAAATGAAATTCTCAAAAACTTATCTGTATGCTCTACATATTCTGTGGTTTAGACGACGTAACTCAGGATTTCTGTCTTTATTTCCTTTTTTTTCTTTAACGACACTTGTGATAACAGAAGATAACACAAGTTATCACTTGTGTGGTAATGTCTCACATTTCCATTTCCTATTTACAATCACAAAAATCAGCAGTTAACAATCCTAAAGCTGCAACTCATTTAGAAACACAATCTTATAAAAGCTTCAAAAATTCTTTCAGTTCATTAAAAACTTTAAACTCATTCAATTTACAGTGTTCAGAATTCATTAAGATGTTTCAGTAAATCACTTTTTCTTTTGCAAAATAAGTAAAGCAACTCATTAAATCAGTGGTCTCCATGTGAAGTATGACGAGGCCTTTCTGCTTCAGACGTCTTTCCAGCATTACAAAGACTGCACAAACCTCCTGTAGAAGAGACACGAGGAAACACAGTACACATGTTGTGGAAATGAAACAGATTTGGTGTAATCACTACGAGCACGATTAGTGTGATGTTTTCTCACTTTACGATTTCAGGCAGACGGGGGTCTCTGTATAAGCCGTTGTGCAGATATCCCAGAGACCCTTCAAATGTCACCAGCTTTACTCTCTCTGTATTCTGGGCACGCGCTGCCACCTCGTATGTCTGGGGGAGTAAAGAGAAGGAATTTCAGTTTACCTAAAACAAAAATGTTCCTAGAAGAGTCATTAATTACTTACAGCTCTAATGAAAACACTGACTCAGTTTACTTTAAATGACAAGCAGCTGTCTGTGCCACTGATACCTGCTGAGCAACCTCAATGGGAACCAAGTGATCATCCTCAGAATGAAGGAAAAGTATGGGGCTTCTCATTTTCTTCAAACTGCAGAATAACAGCGCTATATCAAATCACAGCATTTTTCTAGTAATAACATTTTTAGCTTATTAACGTATTACATATCTCTTAATATTTCACTACTGTATGTACATAACCAACTTACTTTTCTTCAGTAGGAAAGACAAACTTATAATCTTCCCATGGTGCTCGGTATAAGTAACCAAGGCCTGGAAATTTCCAGTAACGCTTTAAACACAAAGAAAAAAGTCATTGTAAAGTCTGTTGTGATGCAGTAACACAGTCACATGAAATAAATACAGCAAATACTAAAAGTGGTAGGTTAGACGAGCATACCCAAGCAAAAGGGTTAAATGGAGGAATATTTTGCCGAACAGTATTGAATGCGCCTTCAAGGATCACCCCATCAAACACCACTCCTGAAAAGAACGGGAAACAATCACCATGTTGAGCTCACGTGCTCTTATGCCCAATTTATGCTTCAGCGGGAACTTTACATCATAGCCTACGACGCAACCTGACGTGCACCTTATAAGAAACGCAGCTAACGCGTCTGGTCGATGTAGCCGCAGATATTGGGTTATATATTGGATTCCTCCTGTGCTGCTTTTCACTGCAGTCTTTGAATTTATCAGTGAGATAATAACAATCATCACCTCAGTATATGGAAAAATAATCTTAGCATCAACATGAGGACTCAGTAACTAATGGTTACCACGTGGTAACCATTAGTTACTGAACAGAATGGAGGGCACAAAAATAAATGTGGGGACAAAGGTTAAGTCGTAGGCCCTGCAAAGATTCCTCGCAGAAGTTTAAATCGGGCATTACTTCTATTTGCTTGATTCATTAGTAGCAAAACCTACCCTGCTCCAGAAGTTTGTCTGCAGTGTTAGTCGCCACTCTGCACGGAAATACAGAAAAGCATTTTCAGTTTATCCAATACGTCACCTTCTCATCTCATCGATGTTGCCAGATTCATTACAGCTGTCGACTAATTTCAACCAAATACAATTTGATTATGTTTTTTTAAAGAAATGCAAACTGGTTCGAGGTATCTTGTTTTGAGCATTATAAGGGTGAACCAATACAATGAAAAACAGCTAAATGTGCAACTACATCCATTTCAAAATGAACACGTCTGTTAAAAAAAATAACCCAGATATTAGAAAATGACCAAAAAAATTAGGTTAACAAAAAAAATAGACATTAAGCACCGAATTATCTCCACCTGGAAAAAGACAGAAAAGCTATTTCTCAATATGAAACGTGAAATATTCAATTCATGAGGGATCTGCGTTGCATAAAGCGTTTATCACTTGCCTATTCATAAGGCTTCCTCCGTTTCTATTCAGTCAGTCAGTACAGGTAAGGTTCCATAATTTGCTGCCTAGTGACAAAAATCTGAAGTACTTCCAAACAGGGATCTTTAGGAAGCCGAGGTGGGCTGTGAACTATCTGCCATCATTACCACACAGTTGCTGATGAATTATTCCAGATTTAAATTACCCTCCTGCCAGGCTTAAGCACCAGGAAATTATGTATTTTTAAGATGTTTTCTTTGACAACTGTTAACTTTGCTCATTAATGTTATTAGCCTCCTGATCCTGTTCATCATTTTTGCATATAAAAACAGCCTGGAAGAGTTGGTAGAACTAAAAATGCTATGGCTTCTCATCATTTACCTTCAGTTGTTCATCTGATGGGTCCTGGTTAAGATCAGCAGCTTATCCTAAGCCTGAAGTAAAAAGAACTGTACCAACGCCATCCAGCTGCTTCTATCAGGTTTTATAGTAGAAATCCAACTTTGCAGCCTATGCAGGACTTTTTTGCCCCAACAAGCAAATTTTACTTTTTACAGTCGAATGGCATTATTGCTTTCTGTCCAACTCGATAATGAAATTTAGAATAGCTCTTGACTGTTGCAGATTATTACTTCAATATTTTAAAAGGAGGAGGATGTGACAAGTATTCCAAACATTTTTTGGGAGTGTGTAAAGGTTTCCAAAATGCTGCACATCAGGAGTCTTTCCTTACTGACCCAGTGCCAAGAGAATGTCCCCAGATAACGACAAGGCTGTTTCTGCTGCGTTCTTTGACCCAGTTGTACACGCAGAGGAAATCAGTGGTCAGACCGGCTTCAGTTGGCTCTCCGGTGGAGTCTCCAAAACCTGCCAGAGTTTGTCACATCATTTGCTATTCACTGTCACGTCAGAGAGCTGAGCTTGAGAGCAAAGCAGCCACAAGGTGGCAGTCACTTAGAGGAAAACCCTCATCAGACATTGACCTGAAGCTGAACTGATCTCTTTTGACTGCCTTACAACAAACAACTCATCAAGCGCAACAAAATTAGTTCACAGTGATTATATGTCTGCAAATGATATTAAATCATTGTGAGAAGGTTTTGCTTTACAATCAATACTAAGGCTAAAAAGCACTGAAATAGAAAATATGTTTAAATAAGAGTCATAAATCTTCATTTGTACCAACCTCTGTAGTCAGGCACTAGGACATGGTAACCAAGAGCACTCAATATCTGTTGACACATAACACTTATTTGTCATCAGAATGGCCACAAAGACCTTTTAAAAGATTAATATGTTTGTATTTGTGATCACTCACTTTTGCAACTCCCACCCGATGAGGAGCTGCCCTGTTGGATTCATAAAAAAAAAGCCACAGAGCCAAAAAATTGGTATTTTTTCCAAAGTGTGGAACCTCTACTCTTTGTATCTGCAGCTGTAATACAAATGCATTATTTATAATACCTCGTGCCTGTGTTTCCATGAAGATATATGAAAACTGGACTTCCATCGCTTAAAGTGTTTTGGTACCACGCCAAGTCTTTCCCCTGTGCCTCCTTCCACCGACTTTCAGGGACAGTGTGCCTTTGACGGTCAAAACAATGCACCGCTTAGAAATACAACCAACAACTGGATCATCAAGTGTTGTCCTTTAGTCTTAGGATTTTAAAAGCTATGCTAGGAAAAAAAAGAAAAGAAAAAAGTTTAACTTAGCTTATGCTCACCATACGCCGAGGGAAATTCCTTCCTCTGATGTTAAGTACATGTTGATGGTGTGATTAAGGGAGAAATCAGCAGGTCGGCTGAGGTCAACAAAGAATGGCAGGCTGACTATAAACAGGAAAAAAGAGAGGTGCTTTTTTTTTCTGAGTAGCAAGCTAAGGATTTACAGTACATCCAAGCGGCAAACTGGATTTTCACATACTTCTGTGTGTGTAAACAAAGTGCTGAATTAATTCTGGAAGCATTTTCACCGAGAAAGGCACCACAACCAAGATAACAAAGAGGGCCAATAAGCCCCTTTTTAGCCACCCTTGGGACCTATAAGGAGACAGAAAAAAGACAGCAATAAAAACAATGTGACTGGAGACTAAAGATGGATATTGATAAGATCTTATTGATTGGCAATTCTGCTTATCGGACAGATTCTTCAACTATTCCTCAATTGATTCTTGTTCCACTGTCTTTGTGTAAAAGATAATAGGCATACGCAGGTTTTCAGCATGTTCACCTGAGACTTAACACTGTGTACAAACAGAGTGGGAAAGCACTGGCAAGTGACTCAAGGGGTGCAAAATCTCCATGAACATGACTCACTGTTTTTGCATCAGTCATATAAACATGAAAGCATTTACAAAAGGTATAAAACAGTCTGGAGGCGTACAATTTCAGTAGACTAGGCCGTTCCTGTTTGCACTGACACCGACTTTCTCTCTTTATCCAAAAATTATTATAAACTTCTGATGACTTTATTCCGCCTACCCCTAACTGTCCAATCTGTGTTAAAACACCAAATCAACACTACAGCAACACTAAAAAGTTTGGCTCCCACTTCTCCTCTTCATGACATCTAAATTCAGCTGCATCCCTGCAGACAGTTTGAATGACTCAGCAAATGTGAGAAGCATCAAGTGAGGGGAGAGGAGGACGGGGGTGTGGTGGATGAGTTTGTTGAGTGGTGCAAAAAAAAGTGCAGCTCTATTCAGGCAAGCTCTGAGAAACAAAAGCCCCCCCAAAAAATAAATACATAAATAAAATCTCCCTCAGAGACACACTGAAGGGACTGTGGACCAGGTTGAGCAGATGTACTTGGAAATGCTCACTTATTCCCACTGGTCTGCACCAAGCAGCTCTCCACATGTCCTATCAGTCTGTGAATGCAGCATTAATATAGAGACATTAATATGGGAGAGAAGAACTGAACGATCTAATCAAGACGGCAGGCTGTCATTGGAGTCAGTCTGGACTCCCTGGAGGCAACAGCGGAAAAAAGGATGCTATTCAGACTATTGCCAATTAATGGACAATACATCCCACCCCTTCCATTAACACTTTAATCAGCCAGAAGAGCCCTTTTAGTCAAAGACTGATCTCTCTGTACTGCTCGGGGGAAACATCTAGGAGGTCACTTGTTCCAAAAGCCATCACTATCTAAAGTTAACTCCTTGAATTTATTATTTAAATCTTTTCTGCAAAAATAAAGTTCACTGCAGATTTTTAATTAATCACCTCTCTTTTTTCCTGTTTATAGTCGGGCTGCCATTCTTTGCAGGATGACGCAATGCAACCTTTGTTTTACTGGGCAGTCGCTCTGTAGAAGATGCGTCTGTTAGTGATGTTATATTTTCACATTTTCAAGACACTTCCAGTCCCTGACACAGTTTAGTTTTCAACAACACTACAGGAATTCCTGTACTCTGGGGAAATGATTCACTTCTATTGTTCCACTAGTTACTGTATTGATCTGTAGACCATTATGCAAGACCTATTTTCAAATGTTTACAACAACGCCCTTTACGAGTTTTTGATATTGTTGTCTTCGCTAAATGCGTTTGCTCAATGCTTCAATGTCCATTTAGCTAGCTAACAACCTATCAACTCTATTATGGTCTAGTAAAAGCGTGCTTGTAGTAGTAACACCATATAGCGTCATGTAGTAAAATGCCTGTCCTGCGCTTACAAACGTGTAACAAACAGAATAACAAACTACACGCGAAAACTGTCTTAATGCAGACTGCTAGTGGACTTTTAATTCCACTAGCCGTTAAAAGGTAAAAGCTAATGCAGTAAGGTAAGCTAGCTAACTCACTGTGGTGACCGTGTCCCCTCCTTCTTCTTGGATTTGGAAGTCCGCTGTACCCCGCTATTGTGGGAGGATGGCTCATTCTGTTTAACGTCCCTTCTCTTCATTATTTAATGTCAGTTATATTGAACAAAAAGAGACTTTATCTATACAGCTAAACGTCTGGGACAGTTATATGGCTCGCAAGGAACTTCAGCAAACTTTGACCGAAGTCCGTTCAAAGACCTGATTCGCGGTGAAAGGGCGGTGCCACAGGCTGTTAAGGTAGCACATGTTTGCACTACAAAGCACAATATATGTTACACACGTTAAGACAGCAATCTATACAGCTCGATACAGTCTGTGGCAAGGGGTGTCAAACATCAGGTCCGGGGTCAGAAGCAAGAGTCCAGTCTGGCTCTCTGCAAGGCTTTGTGAACAGGGGCATAAATCTTTTTAAAGCTTTTCCTCCTAATAAAAACCTGCGTCATGGCCATTCACCACAACCACAAAGTAATTAAGTGATAGATAAACAACTAAATGATAGAAAAGGCCCAGTTCTTTCACTATCTACTAAAAAAAAGCATTTAAAGGAGAGTTTGGGCAAAATACTTCCTAAAATTAAGTATTATGTAAGTACTCTTCGGGAATACTTCTCCAGGCTACCTGAAGTTCCCCAACATTACTGACTGAAATGCAGCCCCAAAACACTGCAGAGATTTAGGGCTGTAGATATTAACTGTTTACCTCCCTTGCACATATTGATCACTAATTGAACCAATAATATAAAATGTGGATTCCTCACTCCATAAGACATGCTTCTTGTGTAATTTGACGCACCTCAGCCTTTCCTCCCTGTTTCTCATCATTAACAATGGCTACTTGCCTGCCAGCCTTCCACTGAGAGCATTTTTCATTGATCAACTGAAGGGCCAGATGCATCTTTCAGGTCCTGTGTCAGGTCTTTCCTGACGTTTTATGTGTTTCATGAGGACATGATTTTCTGATCCAGTATTTTAGACCTGACACTTCTTCTTTTGCCCCACACTTGTCCAGTATTGTGAGACTTATTTAATAGCGTGCTGAACACCGTGTAAAACGTTTTCAGCTAAGAGCCCTTAGAGAATCTCATTTCTGGTGCAAAAACATTATTTTATGTCTGTCAAACTGTGTTATCTATTGCATTTTTTGTAGATTCAGCTAAAGCAATGAGAACATATCATGTGTTATGATACAGGCTGCTAGTGATAAAGAGCCAAAAGATACCATTTAAAATTGTTTTTTTGATAAGTGTGCTAAGTTATGCGCAGACAGAACTCCAGTCCATCCTTTGAGTAAGTTTATTTTAATGCTTGAATGATTCATAGATCAGCATTAAGTGACAAAACAAAACAAAACAAAACCTTTGAAAATGGCCAGCTACAAGCACTGGACTGAAACTGACAAGCCTGGAGAGCTACTGCTCAGGACCACTTTAAAATATAAAATATAAGATGCAAAAAAGAAAGAAATAAAAACAGATTTGCAATCCACACCAAAAACACTAGTGCACCCTTGGGAGCATTTACTGATCACCGACACTCTGGGAGGTTTCTATACTGCAAGGAATATGTTTTAGATTTTTGGCAGCAGTCACATTGGTGGTGTGTTTGGGAGGAAATATCAATAAAAACCTTCATGGGGAAAACCTTCACGAAGAACTGTCTGGAGGGTTAATATAAGCTGGGATTAATGCATCAAGCTTGACATGTTCTGGATCAGATAACACATTGAAACCACACAGCGTGCACAATTATTGGCGCACTTTGACTTTGTCATTATTTCTATATGCCTATTTTCCAGCTCTGCATCAGATGAATGATAATGATGATGAGGCCTAAAGTGATCCACACCTTGTATTAAGTTGCAGGATTACCTCAGCTACGCTGGAGCACAACCACCTCTGAGTAAGAGTTCTCTGTGCTGTGTTGTAGGGTTCTCTGGTCAAGCCGTGCTCTTGCACTGAAAGTCGTTGTTGTTGACTGGCACTGTATAAATACAACTGAACTGAATCAAAATACATAAAGACACGGGCTGCTGTTACTGCACATCATTACGCATGCATCAAAGTAGTTCACTGTGTATTGTCACTAAGCCAGCACACCTCTCTGAAGAGCATTTGGGAGTCTGCAGTTGCTGTCTTAGTGAAAGTTGACTCTGAGATGAAGGAACGGACACTCCACGATTCAAAGGCTTATGACAGTTATTGAAATGAAAAATTGCTAGGATGGTGGATGCTCATATTATACACGGCCAAAGTTTCAAATAATGAGGTGGGTGTATGCTCTATGAGCCAAAAGCTGGGGCTTCATAGGGATCTAAACATTCTTTTCAGTCATTTTTTTCTACTCTTGGCTCCATTAATGTGGTCATCTAAAGCACTCAGCTCTGGCTGTGAGCACAAGCCACTTTCTTTTCTTTTCTGTGGAAGGAACAGCCATTGAAGACAAAGTTGGTTTAAAGTGATGGGGATTGCATTCTGTTTTTTTTATTTACCTTTTACACAGCAACCCAACTTTTCTGGAATTGGTTTGTAATTGTACACATTTCTATTTCTAGAGAGAAAAAAAACCCTCCTTGCAATGCATTTGCTCAACAACAAAGTTGTGACAGCAGTTTTTTTTTATTTCACATCTTCCTTAAATTAAAAAAAAATCCCCAAATGTCATACATTTTCCATCACAACAATCTGAAAGCCTGAATGATGTGGCATGAAAAGGACACTTGAGGACCACTCAGGTTATACAAAGAAAATGAGCAAACGTCTCCAGTAACTCTGTCAGTGTTTGACAGGTGATATTTAGGATGCACAACAGAGAAAAGGCCTCTAAGGACCAGAGATGTCACTGAAATAAATTAAGAGGATGTTGCAGACGACTGCTTTAAGAACTGTTTGGCTTGGGCTGTATGAGGGAACCGACCGAGAGGACATTGGCTGCTGCGGTGGAGCCCTCTGTTAGCTGATGGGTCAGGTAAACACCAAAGGTCACCTAAAAAAAAAAATTTTTTTTTTAAAAAAATCACAAAATAGCAGAGAGTTTGAGTTGCCACACACACACACAAACAAACACACAACCACACAAAGCATCTACATGAAGGTGCAGTAATTGCTTTTGACTGACCTTCCCGCTGCGGTAAGCAGATAGAGACATTAGCGGCTCTTTTGTTTTGCTTCCTGTGTCTTGGTCTATTCCAACCATGTGACATCTTCCACAATGTCCTGCAACCTTCAGGTTAATCACAGAGGGAGCATATTCATTTTGGACAAATCCGCAGTTGAAGATTTCATCATTTATCTCAAAGTGTCAGCTCACCATGAATTGAGTACTGCCAATAACCAAGTGTGACCAATTATCCTCCTCAAACGGTTCGACACCAGCGATGACTAAATTGGCCCGGAAGCGGCTAATGACACTCTGTGTGTCAAGGAGCTGATCGCCCTCAGAATCGTCCTGCCTGAGAAGGCAAATGGGGAAATTGCATGTTAGTTTGCCTTGCTGTGTAAATGACCCACTGTGATGCAAATGTACAGACATCGACGCATCCTGAATATTTCACTGGAGCCATGTGTATTTTGAATAACATGCCATGTGTTCAAACCTGCTGCTCATTAGGTTCTGAATGAGCTCCACGCTGGCACGGCTGATCATGAGATACTGAGCTTCATTTACCAGGGAGAGCGATGTGGAGGTGGCAGCTAGAAGGGAACAACTTCATATTAGCAGTGAGCTGAGGAAAACATTTTCATTAACACTGTCGTTTAAAAAAAGTCTGGTAATTGAGGTTTTACTGAAATACAGCATTTGGAAAATGTAAGTGAATCTTGGCACACATCAAAATGCGCACTCACAATTCAACACACAAAATGTTTTGTTGGGTTACACGGATGAAATCTTCTATCACTGTGTCCTTGAAATATTCTTAAAAAAATATCAGAGAATGTACAAGGAAGTGACAGCTGCAGAAACTGTAGCAGAGAAAGAGCAGCCACAAAAAATGAGATGGTTATACCACAATAAATACATTTTTGTTTTTTAAATTAAAAGGAAATAATTATTGATTAGATATGATGACAGAAGTTGTCTAGTAAATAAAACTTGTCAAGAAATATTATACTGAAGCAAGAGTTAGTTTTTCCAGACTGCAGAATTGCTCTCTGAGTGTTTATTTGTCAAATTGCCAGTTATGGCCTAACAAATATTAAAGATTTGAGTGAAATTTCACTTGATATGAGGAAATTTACTCAGGCTGTGAAAACAGTTGCAACAAGTTTCTTAGTGCTCTACAGAAAATGGACAATAACCTGAGACCATAACATTCCTAAAGACGTAATCAGCAGTGGTACTGTACACTGGATTAGTGCATAAACTGATGGATTCAGCCATTGTTTACATAACTCCGTGCTTTATTAATGCTGTTATTGATTTTTTTTTTTTAAATCAGTTGACTATGGTTAGCAAGCTCATTTAGCAAGCTCCATAAACTACAGTGGTGGAAAACACAAATGCACTTTGTTTTATGCACATGCAATTTTTTTGGATAGTCTGCACTATACAGTATAGCATATATACATATTAGGGGTGCAACGATACTCGTATCGATATTGAACCGTTCGATACAGTGCTTTCGGTTCGGTAC